AAAACACAATGAAAGGTCAAAAATACCTCATCATTAAAGCTTTTCAAAAAAAAAAAAAAAAAGAGAACACTTCTCACTTGAAAGCATTCCCTATCTGCTTAGATTTCAAATAAAGAAAAGAATATGACTGCTGGGCTAAACACAACAGAAAGGGTAAATATTTATGCTCACAGCATTATCAGATCATTGCTAACAGGTGATGGGTTCACTATGGGATTTAAAGTCTCTGAAACAATCTTACAAAACAAACATTAAATAAAACAGAAGACAAAATAAAGTCCAAAATTATTATGTCTATACTATTCCATAGTATAATAGAAATAAGGATAGCAATGCCTGTACTGGATGGATTTCCTCATGGTGCAACAAAGGCCACTGAAGATCCCACAACGCTGCAGAGTAAAAGCATTGCCCCTGGGAAGGTTACACATTCAAAGAAAACAAAGTAAGTATGATGCACTGTCAAAAGAAAGGCAAGTTGAAAACTCTCTGCTCTCTCAATATTTTGTACCTGAGAGAAGGGCAAACAATTTTCCTTTCCTCTCTCAGTTCCATGCTTATTCACTGGATTAAAAACTAACACGAAGCCTACAATCCAAAGCAAAATGACTCTCATTTCACAGCTGTTGCATCTCTGTGTATACCCGACTCGTAATTTCCATTAGCAGTGAGGAAAGTTTCCTTATTCCTACTACAGCGAAGCAATTACCAAAGTGTTCAAAATTCAGGGCAGGCTTTCCAGGAGGAGATTGTTTTGATTTTGCACACAGTGTTTGGCTAGCTGTCAAAAAAACTGACTGGCAGCTTTAATGACGGCGTGTTCAAACCATGGCAGATGCAGTCATCTTCAGCAGCCAGTGCCTCCTCCTTGAGCATACCCAGCACCATGCACCTGGGAAGGGCTGGACACACAGCTTTGCACGAAGCACGGGGTGGCTCACCGAGAAACTAATGCAGACGGATCCATTGATGTCTGAACAAAAATTTGACATGATGCTCCTGCCAAAAAAGGAATCTAAAGCTACACTCACCTATTCAGAGCCATAATCTGTTATAATAAAATTGCAGAGGGAAGAGTGGAGCTGGGTTGCAAATGCCAAACAGATGTCACCTGGCAATTATTGTAGTAGTACCCAGTTAGAAGTGGCTTAAAGCAGCACTATAAGATGGTAAATGAGCACTAAAGCAGCTACATATTCCTTCCTGATAAATATGAACATTAAGTTACAATACAAATGAAACACACAAACTCAGCAGGTACAAATAACAGTGTTCACTAAAAATTACTCACAACACGCAAAACCCAGTCATGAAACCATTGCCATGTATATACAGTGCTGCTGCAATGGGCTTCTGCAAGAGGAACACACCAACACCCCAGAGGAAATCTTAAGATGCTACTCACAGGTCCAGCACAGTACAACAGCAGAAAAAAGGTGACTGTGAAAGGTACTCCTTGTAGTAATGTGACAGCACAACTTTGGGTGAATTCCCAATAAACTGCAATTTTTGTATGAAAATGCTCTTTCAATTATATAAACAGAAGTTACCAGCAGTAACAAAACATAATGCCTGACTTCAGCCCATGCCAAATGTTTAGACACTTTAGTGGACACCTGTCCCAACATTTGTTTTAGCTGTCACTTTGTGGGACTGTTACAGATTTTATTTTGCATCTCTGTTGATTCTGAAATATTTGCCATTATGATGCCCTGAGCAAAGCTACTGATTGCTCACTCTTGCCTGCTTTATAGGGACAGATAAAGCTAGATTCCAGCTCATAAAACCATGCTCTTAAGATCACCCAAGATAAAGAGTTATTATTTGAAATTTTGAATCTGAACAAACAAGCCCCAAAATCCATAAGCAGCAGCCTAATTTTATTACAAAGCATACCTAGAGGCTTATATTTGCTGTCATACAAGCTGCAAGACTTCCCCTAGGAACTGCTCAAAATCTGGACTAATAATTTATAACATGAAGTAGTGACAGTAATATTGTAAACAGATAACACAAATGATACATACCCAGTAAATCTTCCTGGTTTAAAATGTGCCAGAAAATAGAATGTTCTGAAGCTATATATGGATAATCCATAAGTAAAATATTGCCCTGTGATTTTTTCAGTTTTAGTGATCTGATGAAAAGCTAAAATTCAGTCCTCCACTGAGTTTTAAGGGAGAACATAAACACAGACAGAATTAATGAAACTAGCTCACCTACAGATGGAAATAAATATCTAGATCCCAGTATTTCTGATTGCAATCTGACATCTAACTTTTCTTTACATTCTCATTCTTGTGAGGTATCTACAACAGCAAATATTTTCCCTCTATAAAACAGGCTTCAAATAAAGCCAAATTAACTAATGGGAAGTGATGCTAATAAACTAAAGAGTAAAAAGACAGTGTCACTTGATCGACTGAGACTTCATGCCTGAATCCTTTGTTGAGCAAGAGCTTTTTTACCGATAGTGAAACTGATTCTTAGTCTGTATAGTACTTCATCCATTGCTAAAGTTGAATATTCCATTAATGTCATTTTCAGACTGTGGATCACAGAGAAAGCAACCAGATACAGAATTCAGGCAAAGCAGAGCTATTTTACACCTTCAACAGTTACCTTCACATTTAAATGCGGAATTATATAAGGCTATCATTTGGATGCAAAAATGTTCTCTTACCACTTCTCCAAACAACAGGGAAGTTTCTGTAATTACAGGAGATTTGCTGGCTGGCTTGTCACCTGCAGGGATGCCAAACAGGAAAGGGAACAGCCATCGTGAAACTGTGGCAGATCTGCATGTTGGCGAGTTCAGAAACAAAGCCCATACAAAGGGGGCAGTGTGCTACAGTAATATAGTATGCTATGCTAGTTATCATAGCATTGCACAAATAATAAAAAAGGTAGTTTTAAAGCTAATTCACTAGTCTTATTATTGGTATATTTGTGACTTCAAAGAGTCAAGCAGGTATGTAATTCCCTATGAAAAAAAAAAAATCACAAAAAACAACCCAAAATATAAATAACCTTCTTCCAGCTTCTTAACCCTGACTTCTTGCAAGCCCATCTATCTGTAGGGCTCCACAGGCAAATTCTTAACTCAGAAAATCACCTGTTTCAAGTCAAACACATCCCACCCCAAGGTGAATCCTTAGGGAAGTCACCAATGACTGGAAAATAATTGAAAGTGTTTTTGCTCTTGTCATCATCTGGGAACAGTCTCCATCTTGAGACAGCATGAACTTAATTTTACGGGGACCTCCTCCTCATCAAACCTGTCAGTATGTTTGCCACAATAAATACACATCTTGGGGAACTCTTTTTACTCTGCACATAGCAAAACAAAGGCTAAGGCAACAACATCACTTGATTACATACAAGTTCATACAATTCCATGCCTTTTCTCAACTCTTGCCCCCTCAGTAAACTAAATATATTTTTTGAGATTCTTACAGCAGTAACTACACCATCAACGACATTCCCTTTCTGTGCTGCCCTGCTTTGTAGGAGCTGCAGCTCCCTTAGTCCAGTACCTGTAACTGAACTACATCCAACTGCCCCCTTACAATGTAATACACTGAGGGTATCTCGTCTTTTTAAATGTGTAACACAGCACTGATTGTGCTAAATTCAGGATGTGGTATTCAACACTGCAGACCAGAGCCCTGGGAAGGCTCAGAGCCCACCACAGCTCCCCTTAGAGGTAGGCCAGGTAGCTTTAACTATGTGGCACATCGGATAACATGGTATGTGGTCTGTAAGGCACTGCTACAATTATCAGGGTTATTGTTACTAGCAAGAGGCACATCTTCCAGGATCAGAAGATGAAGGTAAAAAGAGAGGGGGAAACACACAACACTTCAGTCAGTTCTGTGCTCCTACCCTGTCAGCAGATTTAGACCCTGCTTCTTCTGCGTGCAATGGACTGCAACTTGATGGCTTAAGTCAAGGCGTGAGAAAAGTTGCTTTGGAACTGTTTTGAAATGTGTTTCCACTGTCATCTTTCATCCTTCTTCTGCTATGTCTTCAATTATTTCCTTTGTTTTCCAGATGCCCTGAGCTCCTCCACAGCTCTCACACAGCTTATTCACTCTTACCGCTAGACCTCTTTGTCCTGCAACCAGTTTCTATGACACTGCTCTTCCTTCTATGTCAGTGCTCCACATTTCTTCTTTAGTAACATTTTTTTTTCTAAATCTTGCCCTCTCTTCACTAGGATTTGGAATCAGTCTTGTCTCAGTAGATGAGAGCAGAGTTTCCTCACTATCAGCACACAAGCTAGGCCAGAACCGCTACGATTCCTTGTCTCAGAGCTTGTACAGCAGATACTGAACTTTACAAGCACTTTGCAGTTGACAGATATGAATTGTGACACTAGTTCAATGACTGTCACTGAGTAATAATTAGTATTTCTGCTAAATTAAACCTTCTAAAGAAAATAATAGTCTACCAAAGAAAATCATAACCTGCTCAATGTGCTAAGGCATTTCTTTGTTATCTGATAAGCAGAAACCCTACCCCATTCCCATATTGTTGAATGCATTTCCTACTGTTACTCCTTACTTTAAAAAAGAAGGAAAAGACAATATGATTGAGAGAGCACTAAGAACCTACATACAAAGACTTCCACAATAATTTCCCAGAAAGTTATTCTCCAAACCAACACTTATGCTGAATCAGTACAAAAAGGAAGGAAGGAAAGGAAGACTAGGTCTGACCAAGAAAGGAAGGGTAATAGGTAATTACTCCATAGTAACATGGAGGGGAAGCTGTCAGGTCAGGAAGTAGTGAAATCTCTCCAATTTCTGATTCCCAAGAGCTGCTGTGAGTCATAAGAAACCATAAATCCTCCTGGAAAATTTGGAACAAACCAGCTAATTTTCAGGGTTTGAAAATGCTGTATCACATACATTTGATCTGACTGAGGATCATGAAGAGTGCTCTAGGAGATTAAGTTTTTAAACTTTTCTGCTTATACAAATGCATGTTAGACAAAATCCAAAAGTATACATATACTATACCTTTTCCATGTTGATAAAAAAATTAAAGAACTAAAAATACAAGAGAAATTGTAAACCAGCTAGAAAATAGAATGCATAGGAATGGGGAAAACCCCTCAATAGTGTACAGATCTTCATGCACTAGGCAGTCCCAAAGTCATAGATTCAATTATGTACACAAGCTTAAACATAAATAGCAGCACTTTATTCCTGTATATGTTTTTTCTTTTTAATAATCTGAGACTGCCTTAGCTCCTCAGTCCCATGAGCATATGGGCAAGATTCAGAAGGCAAAGAACAACCATCAGGATGATGAATGAAAAACCAACAGAGACGTGTTTTAAATGCTTCAGCTGAAAGGCGGCGCTTCACTTCAGGCTTAGTTTTCCTTGATGGTTTCTGCTTTCTCCAGTCACGAATATGGACTCTCCCATTTAGAACTAAGATTTAAAAACAAACAAAAATGCAGCTGTTAATAGACAGCCATGGGAATTGTACTGGAAAAAATGTATAGTGACAATCTGTGAATAAAACATATATTCTACAAATGGATCACTCAGGCAAAACCAAATGTGCCATTTGTACAGAAACAAAAAGTGCACAACAAACCAAGATAATATGGACACGGTCTAAAGAAGAATTGATTGATTTCCCTGTGAGATGTTTTACTGTGATGCTGAATAGTTTGAGGCACCTTTGTATCATCTCTGTAGAGGTTTGTTTGTTTAAGTACAGCAGTTGGGATAATTTAGACTAAAATCCTCTGAATTTAGATTGCAAGCCCTGACAAAGAACTTTCAACTTCAAGAACTGTAATTCCTTCTGTGTTCAAAACTTTTATTACTCCACACTTACAATGGAGCAAAAAAAATAATCTAGTAAGAGTCTTCTACTACTTTCACTACACAGAAATGCTCTTGCAAAGACAACGGTTCACTGACCCAAAAATACACCGTACCAGAGAGATGACAAGTCTAATCCTTCATATGAATCAACAGTGAACTACCGTTGGTTAATAAAGGTTCATCACTTTGTTTTTTTTTTTTAAAATTCATTTGCTGTGCTAGGACCATAAACTGCACACACACATTTATGAACCTCTGACAACCCTTTACATGCGTAAATGGAACAGAATAAAAGGAAGTTAGTAAAAGAGAAAGAAAAAATGTAGATTAAAAACATCAGTGAAAATGAGGAGGGAAAAATCAGCCACTTCTAAGCTGCTATGCTATTTTCAAATTGTGCTTCAATCATACCTTCTGTACCACACACTTGTAGCTTGGCATAGTTAACTGACACCATTCTGGATTCCGATAATCACTATTCAAAAGGTAATGAGCCCAGGGAAAGCTTAGTATCATACATTCAGGCCTGGATTAATTCATCCCTCCAGGCTTCCTTGTGATATACAAATAGATCTGAACTCATACAAAGCCAATCCAGAAGTGGATTCAGTAGAGCTGTAAAATTTATTTCTCAAAGATGAAGAAAAATGAGCAGACACAGTGCTATTTATGATCAAGCATATTTTTTCTAGCAAGTCAGTCCTGTATTGGACAAAATGCCTGATCAAAAGAATCTGCCACAGATCAGCTACCCAATGCCCCTTCTTTTTTTTTTTTGTGTGTGTGCATGCATCCATTTGTTTTTCATGTCTTTTAAAGAAAAACACTTGAGTAAAGATGACGAAAGAGCTGTAGTCATGTTCTTCTCTGTCCCCTTTGGCATGAGCAATGTCCTTCCAGACCACCCGCTGGTAAAAGTCCCTTGTTATGGTGACAGGCTACTGAAGGAAACAATCAAATAGTCTTTACTGAAGCTCCAGGGACTTTCCACGTGACGTAAATTACTGAGAAAGCTTTGGCCTTAATTCTAGCCTTTCTTCAGACGTAATGTGCATCCACATCAAATTAAAAAGCTTATGCCATGTAACAGACTGTAAATCTACTCCACCTATCCCTAATGACAGGGAATCAAATTCAGACATATAACGAATGCGATGTGACCGACTCCTTTTCAGTGGATGGTAATTCAAAAGGATTTCAGTACAGCTTCACATTTTGTAGTTGCCAAGTGTACAGAACTCCCTAAAGCTAAACTTGGCTAAAGTAACCACTGACAGCAACTAGGCTGCACGCTCAGGATGATTTGCCATGGATTAGTTGATCATAATTTTACAGCTGATGTAGAATTGTTGGGACACAAGTTAGCACACTTCCAAATTTGAAGCAGCCTTAAATACTGATAAAACCTTGAAGACCTGTATTACTGCAAAGCTAGACCTTATTTTTTCAAAATTCCATACTGAAAAAAAATCTAAAAAACAACCAAACAAAACACACCACCAGCACATTACAACAGGGGAAAGGAAAAAAAAAAAAACCAAACAACAAACCAGCTATCAACAAACCCAGCCAACCACAGAAACGTGCTGCTGAGTCCTTTCTGCCATGCTAGCAGACCATATAAACACACCAAGCCTCACAGTTACGGGTTCTTATTGAGACTAGCTTTATTTTGTGTTGGCATTTTCACTGTGGGGCTTAGTAAGGCCATCCTAGGTCTCAGTTAAATGCTTTAATGAACTTGCTCTGCATTTAACAGGCCCAAAGTCATCAATACTTTATAGGAAAAATAAAAATTCTTTAAGTCAAACAATAGCATTAAATTATCCACTTGAACTAAAGGGGGTTTTATTCAGATACAGTCAGTCTAAAACAACTCGTTGCTGATAGATGTCTTACCAATCTCATTCAAAAGAGTCTTACTAACAGTATCTCGGAGCCACAGGCACATAAAAATATTAAGTTTTACAAAAAGGTACAGAAAGCCATTAGAAAAACCACCACCAGAGTAATTTTTCAGTTGAGTTCAACTGCATATAGAGGAGATAAAACAGATGATTAAAGAAAAACAAAACAAAAAACCAAAATCCCTTTACCTTCAAATACTTGGTGATTGTTCTTGAGTAGTGTCTGCAGGCCCCCACACTCACTCTTTAGCCTTTTTAAAGTCTCTTTATTTAAGTGTTCTGCTACTTCTTTCAAGGAAAGGCTTTCTGCAATAAATAATGGTGTAGCTACTAAAAATGTATAGACATAAAATACTAAGAAAATTTAACTTTTACATAAATTAACAACAATAAGGAGGATCTATAAATTATCTATCAGTACTACAGCAATTTTGTACTCCCAACATCATGCATGATATATATTTTATATGTATATTGTCTGTAAAATAGCAGATTTCATTCTACAGAAGCCAACTCAGAATTTCCACAGTAAGACACATTTATTTTCCCTGCTTTTTTTTACAGTAGCATACAACCCTCATGGCAATAAGCACTGTTCACATGCTTGTAGTTAAGAGAGAATGACTCAAAGGACCTCCTGTAACAGTAACATATGACAAACTACAGTAAGTTAATAAAAATGGATGGAGGAAAATGGAAAGATGGTGGTAGCAAGAACTGAATGCTTATAAAATTAACAACTTCTACCCTTTCCCTTCCCAACACTATATTAAAAATTCCTAATCACGTTGTAACCAAATGGCACTTCTTAACAATAATTAGCTGTAATTCTATGTGACTATCCAAGAAGAAACTTAAAATTCTCTCCAGATACGTGCAGAGTGTTCTATTTTGGTAAATGGGGAGGAGTTCTGGGTTTGTTTTGGTTTGCTTTTTTTTAATAAAAATTGTTTTGGTCCTAGTATTTAAATGTAGAGGGAGCATCCCCCTCCCCCCCTTCCCTCTTTTCAAAATATTCCTATATGCTCTATTTGCATCCTAGCATGACACAAAATACAGTGTTATTGTACTGTTCTTGGTACTTCCTAAAAATCTATTTCACTTACAACATGTAATTCACTGGAAAAGACAGGCTCTACCTGCAAAAGCAAGATAACATAAAGGAAAGACAACCTTACCTCCTTGATTCCAGCTATTCGTATTTCCACCATGAAGATTAGAACATGGTTTTGGGGGGGTTGCATTTAACAGCAAGTTTGCCACATTGAGAACCACATCATCTACAAAATCCCGAGGGAGGGAAGCACAATTTCTGATTTGTTCTACTTTTTCTCTGGGTTGAAATCCAGGCATCCAAACTGTACCAGCAGTCTCAGTCTCATTTTCAGGAAGTTCGGAGCCTGCTTCTTCGCATACACCATCAGAGCGATCCTTCTGATTAAATCCAACTCTTCCGCCACACATGACCACAGGACAGGTCTGACGATTATTAACATACTGTGTTATCTGCTTGTCAATCAGAGCACATTCTGTAGGCGGATAGGTCCTATTTTTTCCAATAAGGCACACCTATTTTGGTAGAAACAGGTAAATCACTTCATAGAGTCCCAGACTTACATGCAGCCCCCCAACCCCAACACACATCTTACACAGGCTTCTAAATCTACCTACAGGAGATATCCATTTAAACTCAATGCTCATTGACATCTGAGGGTTTTTTAATTTCAGTTTTCAAATATTGGTGCCGCAGAAGAAATCCAGTAATCAAACCACAACCAACATGCCACACAAGCACAGAACAAAAAGATTGTTCCTGATCCTCAGATATTTACAAAATAAAAGCTGGCCACATCTTCCTACTCTAAGAACATTTCACTTCAAACTTCCCAGGACATGAAAACCAGCAAAATTAATTACAAATAAGCAACATAGGCAGCCAGGAAAATTAAGGCAAAAAATGAGCTTTTCCATTCTATAGGGTGGCATATGAAATAACCACAAAACCTCCTACTCTTTCTTGTCTTTAGGACTGTACCTGTGACATTAAGAGCAGCATACCCAAGAAAACAATGTGTATTTTTAGGCTGTTTTCAGAGTATATTGTCTGAAGTAATATAACTGACTATAGTCTGATCTTAAAACAATAATGAACAAACAAGAATACTGAACAAACATCCATATGCTTCAGACAGCTTACAAAAAAAAAAAGATAAAAGCCCTACACAGTCCAAAATTACCCTTTTTGTTGATGGAATTCTAAGGCAATCTTCTTCCACATGAAAGCCACATACAGATCCCACTTGGGCAACAAAATCAAGATATTCTCTGTACTGAGTTTTCTTGCTTTGTCTTCGGCTGTATTTTCCATTGAAATCAAAGAAGCAACATGGCAGCACAAAGTAGCAACATGAATAGGAAGACCTACAAGAAGGATAACAAGCTGCTGAATGGAAAGTTATTTCACAGAACACAGAAATTTAACAAATAACCCACCATATACAAACAATAATGGAAATTTGTATGAAGTGACAGAGCTTCATGAAATAATATGTATATGTTCTTCTTTCAGTAGCTCTATTAGCATTATCAAAAATACTGTTTCACAAAGTATTTGCTATAGCAAATTGCTGTGCCAGCTTGGTTTGCCGAACTACTTCTCTACATATTAAACTATTGCAGCTGCTTGTGAAGAGCACAAACAGTTCAAGGAAAGGCAAAACCAACAGCAATTTTATGAAAAAATGCATTAAAAAAACCCAAACAACAGGTTCACGTCTAAAGAATAAAAATCAGTTCTGGTTTTTGAACTTCAAAATCAACATGCTGTACTGAATTCTATGAGAAAGTAAATACCACATCTGTGCTCCTCCCCAGGAAGAGAGACATTTTGTAAAATAATCAATTGGCTTGTTTTCACCAAGCACACATAGGTAATTATGTTTTGTTTTTTAATTCCCTCCCACTCCCCTCCCTCTGCAAATACCTTGCTGCAATTACAGGTATCCACGGTGTTAATTCATCTGAATGGTTTCCTATGAGCCAGTCAGTATCTGGGAAGAGATAACTGTCACCTGGCACAATTGTAGATTCCTAAAAAAACAAGCAATATATTAAGTGAATTTTATTACCCGTGTCTTTAAATACATTTTATTTGTTAACAAAGCACTAAGTAACAGTATATAAAATCATACAAGCTTACAAATAGAAAGTGAATGAGAACCACAGACATGAACACTGTTTTCCTCAATCTGTACTTTTGCCTCGTAGTAATTTTTTATAGCTACAAAGAAGTAATTTAGGAACAGCTACTCACAAAATATTGGATGGACACAGAGTGGAATAACAATTCTGATTAAGATATCTGGCACCCTAAATATTTGTAAACAAATATCATACACCGGATTACGATTTCTTGCCATTGTCCTGTCACATGTACGTCTGGACTCAGTTTTTCAGAAAGCCAGTTAATGTGCTATATCTCACAGACCTAGGACTCACACAGCACTTAATCAAAACACAGCTTCACCACTATTTTCTCTTCTATCACACTCTTCCCAAATCATATCCTAGTATACAGAACACCACTCTTCACACCCTGTCCTTCATGTATAATAAACCTAATCCAGCCTAACACTTTCCCTCTTGTCCATGTTGCCATTCCATCCCCTTCCAAGTTGTGTCAAGATTACCTTATGACACATGCAAAAATCAAGACCAAAACAGGAAACAATAGGAAAAGCAGCTTGTGTAGTGGCCCTTAGAACAGCATTTTGCCTCGTGGAAATTCAATATATATGGATTGAGGAGACATCAGCACAGAAGTCTTCCCACCATAATACTGACTCACAGAATAGTTAGTCTCAAGAATACCTTGTCCTGATATTCTTAAAAAAACAAACCCAAAGAACAAAAAAAGAAAAACAAAACCAACAACAAAACCCCAAAAAACCCACAAAAAACCCACCACACCACACCAAAAAAACCCAAAAAAACCCAACAAAACCAAAACCAACCACCAAACACGATGAATTCTTCATACAGATTAAATTTTAGAAGTTCCAGAGTGCCTTTAATGTTTGTCTCTCTTACACACACATTTTTTTACCTAGAACTAAGTTCAGCAAAGAAGATGTTGATACTATGGAAGTATACACTCTTCTCTAAAAACTTTATGAATCTCAAATTTACTGGGCAGATTTGAAAAAGGTTTTACATTTCAATCTCCACAGGCCACATACTCACATTTTATATACAAAATGAACATTTTATGAGGTCAAAATTCACATGCATATGCAAAATAGTATCTGTACAGGAAACAGAAAATCCCAACCACTTAACAGGGAATTTCAGAGATCTCAGACAAGCTCTATTACATCCCAATTCCCCTCTTCAGAAACCACTGACAGGTGTTTTAAGTATCAGTATAGTGCATTATTGTTCACTTTAAATACTACATCTCTGATCATTTTTAGATATGTACATACATTCGTAGATAATATATGTAACAAATTTATTTTTGTCAGGTTAGCAGATGTTAAACCAAGTGTTTGATACGTGTTTTCTTACAGTTGATTAAACAAATTACTCCTACATTAAATTTCAGTTTTGATCATTCAATTTAGGCATAGCATGAATTATCACTGCCATACTCCACATTTTGAGAGTCACCCACAATCAAATTTGCATTCAGCATGTCCAACAGCAGTTTGGCGATGCAGAGTGCCACCTGTTACATTCATTTATATTGTTAGTATTGGCACTGAATGTCACAGACGGCAATATTCACCCTGCAATTCATGCTTTAAGTAAAGATCATTACAAAATTACCTTTGAGGGTAACAAAAGGCTGTGAGCAGGTGCTTTCTCCTTCTGTGGCTCCTGTGGCTCCAGGAGCCTTGCAAAATAATTTCACCCTTCCTATTCATTGTATAACTCCTTCCCACACAAATTAGTACTTTCTTTATACGCATATTTTGGATATTTTTATTGTTTCCCTCTGGCTTTTTCAAGTGTTCTCAGTGAATTGGTTTTTTAAATTTTATTTTTAAAAGATTAATAAACCCATCCTTTTCTATTTTGTTCCCTGATGCTGCAGAGAGGGTCAGCTTATGCTCAGAAGTTTCCATGTGAGTCAAGAAATCTGAGAAACTGTAAGCAGCTAGACCTTAAGATGAAATGAATGTACAAAATTAAAATACTTCCACAATTAACAGTAGCAGAAAAAGGAATAGATAACACAAAGGAAAAGAGATTATGTTATCTGGTATGATCAGGAGTAACAATGTGTTACAACAGGAACAAAGGAGCACTACAGCTTGACGTTTTGCATTGTTTCTTGAAGCTTTTCAGTAAGATCTGGTTGCAGATTGCAGCAAAGGAATCTGTCAGTTAAGGCAATGTGTATCCAAAATGGCAAAGAGAAGGCTGCACAAGACTGTGAAAGCTCCATCTTCCATCTGTGAAAAGTCATGGTCTTTTGTTGATTTAATGTTAAGTTGTTAGCATTCAAAGACATCTTGAATCAACTTTTAAACAAAACTACTAAAAAATAACTATAGGCAGAAAATTCTCCTAATATATCAGAAGCTGACAATTTTTGAGAGAACAGAGTGATAAATTTCAGGAGCCTAGAGAACAAGAAACCAGGAATACCTCACTTCCAAAGGGCAACTGTTCACCAGTACCGCACCTTAACAAGTATCGGACTGAGAACAGCTAAAGTGAATGTTCCTGTGCTTCAATTGTGCCTGTTCTCATAAAACTGATAATGTGGAACTTGAAATACAATTCCTCTTTCAGACTCATTTTGCTGTTCATTTTTTTGAAGGCTATTATTGCCATTACTTACCACTAGGTCAGTACAGCAGAGGATTGGCTCCTTTGATGCTCAGGAACAATTTTGTCCCCAAACCAGCACATAGCACTAGGTCAGAATCACTTTCCATAATAAACTACTCACAACTTTGGATACTGATATCTTTCATGAAGTACAGCGCTGCAGACAAAGCTGCTTCATATTGATCTTCTGGTAAAACCAAAGATTGTTTCACAGCGTGCATGTCTATACACGCAGAAGGAAATCATGCTTGTCTTCGCAGCTGAAAAGTAAATTGCAAATACGCAAAGGTATGATACAGCACTGCTCTCATAATCCCCTTTACAACTTATAGTCCAAGAGATATGGGTGGCATCATACTAAACCAACAAATTACTTCAGACAACTGTCTGTAACCCAGTATGTTTGATTACATTTGCATCAACACAACGTGAAGCAATGAACAAATGAATAAAGTTACAAATCAATAAGATTGACATACATTTGCATAATACCTCTAAATGAGTTTCTGGTCCATACATGTCCCATATTTTTCTTCTCCTCACATCAATTCCTCTACCTGAATGCTGAAATATTTGGACAACAAAAAGTATCATTTTTAAGTACTACTTTTATCAGAAATTGTCAAACAGGCCCACTGAATGTACGTACTAGCACTGATTATTTCATTCATAAAATCTAGAAACATAATGAAACAGCTTCACCATTTCAGGCAGAAGCTGAATACTTTTAATCCCTTCTTTCCCTTCTAAATATGAAGGGAAAGAATAGGAAACATTAAGAACATATCTAGTTTTAAATTTTACCTGGGCACACTTATTGAGATTGCTCTTGAAAATCTGGATCTCTACAAAAGTAAAAGCAGAAGTATTGCTTTTTGTTTCTTTGCTTTTAAAATATTAAAACCTTTCATAAGGGGACTGTTACTGTACAACACATAGGTCTCAAAGAAGAGTGCTATTCTAAGCAGTCCTTTCTGGGAGAACCACCTTTCAACTCCTGAAGTCAATTAGACTGCTGGAGTCCAAATGCACTTTTCCCTGTGTGAACTGATGGGAAGAGGAAATAGGACTAGTATTTGAACTTCAAGAACCCTGTGCAGAACTAAACAAAATCGATTACTAAAAAAGTCTCATAAAACTCTCACACACATGATTTTTTTGTCAGTCAACAATGTTTGTCAGTGCTACAGCAGTGATGATCTAATGATGTACAAAAAGAAAAGTCTACAGGGAAAATAGCATCTTGCATTAGATCAAATTTTTCTGGCCACACAAGGCTAGAGAGCTCCTGTTAGCAGAACTTGGACTTTTTTCCCCCCTCAATGACACTTAGTGATCTAATAGAATATACTCATTTACTGTACAAATGTCACCATGTTCTCCCAAAAGTGGAAAATACAATTTTCTGAAAAAGACAAACCCAACTTCACTGGGTTCTGTTCAATCTCACCAACCTTTTTTTGTTGTTGCTTCAGAAACTATGCCTCAAGAAACCGAATTTTGCCACTGCCACATTTTCACTCAAAAAAGCACAGTATGTTGTTAGGCATTTCACAATTAACAAATCCCAGGTTTGTTTTTAAAGATATAGGAAAACATTTCAGGAAAGGAAAAGTAGAATTCAACTTTGTTAAAATTAAATTCATGGAAAACATCTGAGAGAGAATCTCTGTGTTAAGATTGCCCATTCCTTTTTCCTTTCTCTGCCACAAAACTAAACTACACCATTAATTTTTCTTTTCCCTCTTAGTTTCTTACCTCAGAATAACAGCCTTGAATTGAAATGAATTGCACAAATAAAAATAAGTGAAAGGTTTCTAAAGCTCTGCTAGGATTTTCTTCTAGTAACTAGTCTCCTATTTTAGAGACATGAATTAACTGGATTTTGACTATTTATTTGCTTGCCAGATAAACAGAAAGCATAACAAGAACATTGACTATCTCTATTTTTAATTATTATTTTTAAAAAGCATTCTATTTACCCCTTCATTATTTAGAATATGGACCAGCAGACCATTTCCACATCCAAGATCTACAAATGACTGTTTCTTGGTCAGCCTTTTTTCCTTTCTCTCTTCTTCCCAAAGAATCTAAGATAAGAAAATAAAACATTTTAGATTTCTGTTCTTAAGTCTCCCTGTAAAAAAGCAGCAAAGGTTACTGGAAATGAAAGGAGAAAGCTGGGAGAGAATGCAGATGTGACAGAGAAAAAAAACCACAAAACCACTGTTTATGAAGAGGAGCAGGAATTATGTTGCAAAGTATCAATCATTTTCTAAGTGCTAAGCACATCCTCCACTTACTTCTGAGTCACTGGAAGCTGAAATTAATCAAGGCTATACAACCCTGGGCTAGACTGAGCATAAATGTAAAATAAGCTGTTAAAACAAAGGGTGAAAGAGATGAACAAAGGAAGCAAGGGAAGCAGCAAGTAAACTTTAACAGTGTCTCTGCAGGTAACACCACAGAAGCATTTATATCCACTGTATTAAAGAGAACCTACCTAAATGAGAACAAAAGCAAGAAGAATTCAACAACTATAAAATGAAAATACTGATCTTCTTTAGAGAGGTTCTATTATTTGGAAATAGAACCTTACAGAATACCATTAGGCAAAGCAGTTCCCTACCAGCAAGTAAGTGGCAATGGCAACATCTTCATAAACAAATTTCTCAGGATCTGTCACTTCAGGCCACACCTTCAGAAAAAAAGAATTGAAAAAAAAATATTTTCTGCACCATCTCGAATTACTTCAAAACGTGCTCAGTCAGAGTGATTTGGATACTCATTGACTTCAACAGGGTTCTGCACTTCACAAATTTTACATTTTAACCTCATTAAAAATACATACAAAGAATGTAAACAAAGACTGTTTGATTTTGTGAGCCACACAAAAGAATAATGGTATAAAGAATGCCTGCTGTCATCCAATCAATAGTTTCCAAAAACATGATGGCTCCATGTGTGCAGCTCACAAGTAAACTGCTACACCTGTTCTGTAACAGAGCATGCATCCTTTTGCTTAACTCTCTCAAAGGAAAAATACTTATATTATTACTGTTATGTGCAACATCAACAACATGAGCACTTGCAAACTTATTTTCACAACACACAGGCATAGAATTATCCTGTCACAACAGACAATGAAAAATCAAAATCTGAAGTAGGAAGAAAAAGTGGAAGTATTATCTCTATTGTATAACCTCATTATTCCAATGAGGAACTGAACAAAGATTAAAATGCTCCACACTACACTAAGTCTACTGCAGAGCTAAAGTCTGAACCATTACCTTACCCACAAGTCCAATGTTCCTCTCATACACATCCTTCTACTAGTACAGAAATATTTCAACATTTTCACAATATGTTTTGCAAAAGCATTTACCACTTTTTTTTCCTTGTACCTAGAGTCTGGTGTATAAGGATATAGGTACTACTTCATACAGCACTTAAGATGATCACTGTCACTTTTCAGGATCCCCAGGATAAAAATAATATTACAACATTGCTCCTCTGACTCAGAAAGACATATTAATATAGCACCTAAATTTAAAAAGAGTAATAGGAAATTTAACCTGCTTACTAAACAGTGATGCTTACAGACTCTTTCAGGCTTTGGAGAAGGTGGTACTTTATTTACGTCTTCTAGTGTGGATGACTTAGTATTTGCATCTACTGACCTACTGCTTATTTATTTGAAGGGAAATATTCTGGAAAGTATTTAACTCCTCCAGATATTTAGTGTGAATGCGGCTCCACATCTTGCTCTTCCAGTTTATTTCTTCCAAACACTAAATTGTTTTTTTCCCCAAACACACAGAAAAAAAACCCCAAAACACGAAACCATAAAACATACATTTAAATTAAATTGCTTTTTATTAAAAAAATAATTTAGTGAAAGAAGCAGTTTCACTAAACAAATAACTACAAATACAGGAAAGCATACTATTACTGCATTTATTGCTAAACTTACCTTCACGATCTCTTTGTACTTTTCTTTAAGGTCCTGATAAACCCTGCTGTATTGTGCTACAGAAATGAGTGACAGCGTACTTTTAAACTCACTGGGCTTTTGCTTCACAGACCATTTAGCCAGTTTCGACAAAAGTTCATTTCCAAGCCATGCTAGTTTTGGGTACACAATTCCATCTGAAAACCAGTCTTCTGGAAATGGAGCTACAATAGACACAGACCTTTAAAAATAAAATAAAACCTTTGTATAAATACAGTTTATTTCATTATTTCAGCTAACTCAAAAAGAGAGAAAACAATGATTAAGTGGAGAAAATCAGGAGCTCCAACACAGGTATAAAAGTACACTGGAGAATAAGGAAATATGTAATACACAAAACCAAAAGGAAAATAAACAGTGAAGTTACTGAATAATGCAACAGTCTCCCCTGAATTTTATTAGATAGCTCATTGTTTGACAATTCAAACACTGTACGTGAGAGTCCATGCTGCATTCAACACAAGGACTGAGGACTCACATATGATGAACAAGCCGATTTGGCAAAATATGCAAACACTAGCTAGTAAAAGTGAAATAGTTAAATTCATGAAAACAACGGGAAAATTTAGGAGGAAAATGTATCGGCTGGCACATTTCATTATTTCATCATCTCTAACTTTATTCAGATTTCATTAGAGCTATGCCCTCAGACGCTCAGAACCAAGCTGCAATGGTCTACATTCCAATGACTGAAACTCAGTAGCTTCCAAACAGCAATTCCGATTTGATCCTCAACCTTACTACCACCCACAGAACGTGACCTCTCTCACAGGCATAGCTAGTTCCTCGACAGCAGCAAACACATACTTTTTTCTAGACCACACAGGTGTACAGTCCATGTATACAATCAAAGTTGAAACAGATTTGTGCTGAGTACTGTGGATGTTTAATTTTTAACTAAACACTATGGACTAAGATGGCACCGCTGCTGTCATTTACTAACCAAGCACAAAATTACACAAACAAAATTGCCTAGATACCAACACAAAACATGGTGTGATCCTTGCAATGGCTTGGGGTTTGCTTCCCCTCTCACTCCCAGCACTTACCATTCCTCGTCTTTTATATGTGTAAGTTGAATTTGATAAATATTGCACTTTTTAATCTGGTATTTTCCTTCACTGTTTTCCTCCAAAGGCAGAAAGGTGACAGTCCCATTGTCAGCATCTGAAGAGATACGTAAATAGTGATATATTACTCCATGGTACAGACCACCATGGTTAGCACCAAAATAAAGTTTTGTCTCCTTACTACAAAGTGGAAACTAGTGAGGCAAGATGTGGGACAACACAGGAAAAACCACAATGCTAAGAAGAGATCAGTTTCTCGGTGTGCCTGACATCTTAAACTACCAAACTGTCTGAATTCTCAAAATTTAGCATACTGCTGCATGATGCTTCCAAAATATCTAAGGCTGACTGGTAAGACTATTCATTTTCTTTAAACCTATTTTAATAAAGTAAAAGCTATACAATGAGATTTTTCTAGCACAAAACTGCTGCTTTTCCCTACCTCACAGTAAACCTGGAGTCCTGGGAAGCGCATTCCAAATTAACGTATCACCCCAGTATTAGACAAACAATCAGTGCAATATTAAAAAGTAATCAATAAAATTATTACTATCTGTTAATTTTGCTGTGTTCAAACACAGGATCTATCGTGAGATTACAACCAAGTACAGCTATGCTTCTGGTTTAGTATCGTGTTACTTTCCCAATCAGAGTTCCTGGACTAAGCATGGTGAAAAAACCGAATCATCTATCCCTAAATTAGGATCTCCTAACTCTGACGGGAGCCTATCTCAGAAGACCTGGTTTTAGGTGGAGGTACATGTATTATGTTAATATATTAAGTTATGTTCAGCAACCACGCTACTAATCTTAATGCTATCTATCACCTGTGGAATAAAATGTTTACGTCCAGTGACAGATTCCAAACATTAGATATTTTGGAAAAGTCGACATGGGCTGAGAAACAGCTAGCAACGCACTTGAGTGATTCTACCCTATTTCAATAAGATATTTTGTCAGATTTTATTCTCTAATATCAATGACCCATCTACCATCATAAACTTCTACACAAGTAAAAATAAAGAGAGGGGGAGTGTGTGCTTTTAAAATAAGTTACAAATAAAAAGAGACTGCAGTGAAATACGAATGGCATGGCACAGCCTAGTACTCACTGTTTTAAGATTAATTTATTCCCTGTATCTATCCTACACAGTGACTCTAAAAGCATTTACTACACTCCTTATGGCAGATGATGTGTACGCATTATTACTTTAAAAGTCAGTTGCAAAAAATAACTTTGGCTATTGCTTATCAAGGTCAATTTCTTCAAAATAACATATTCTTATTTTTGAAAAAGTTTCTTCAATGACCATGAAAACAAACGTTCTGGCAGATGCAAATCTTTAAACTCAGAATGCTATACTGGCTAAGTAATCACATTCCGAAGGACGACAAAATTTTCCACCCCGGGGCCT